GCTCAATTTGCCCTTCGGCAGTCAATCAGACAATGAGGTAGAGGCTGGAAAAGCAAGATCGATTTTCCAACGTTTTCCAGAGTAAATTTCCCAAAATTATTTTTTGTCCGTCAATCGGAAAAATTGACGGGGATTACCCTCTTATTGATAGAGATTGACTTGAAGATATTGCTTGGCATCTTATATTTCACTTCAACGTGTAGCATCTGTCTGTTGCTATCTGTCAGTAGGTGCTCTATCTATGTTTGGGTGCTCCCTAGTTTCTCCCCCGAACATTCATCTCGATCCGGCCTGTTGAAGACTACCCTACGCGCTTCCCCCAAAGAGCATGTGTCTGTGTAAGCGCCCACACCAAAATAATTCGTGCTACGGCTGCAAATCGATTTCCTCGCACCAGGTAAGGATCTCGGACAGCATTTCGCTGGGCAAGAAGACGTGCAGATGAAGCTGCGGCTTCCACCAAGATAGCATGCGCTTGTAAACTGTTAATAAATCCCGGCGACAACCACGAAGCCAAACCTTGCACTTCGCGTGCGTTCCTTCGACAAACGAAGTGTCCAGGATACCAACATACTGATAGCGATCTGTCCACCCCCTCACAATACGATCCTTGTACTTCCACCAATGGTTATCCAGGTAGCTCGATAAAACAGGGCACAAACGGTTCATTTCTTCTCGTTTCAGCTCAAACGCTTCTTCAGTGACTGCATCTACGGCAGCGTAGTATACGGCCAGGAAAGCATCCGTTTGTAAGGTATTTTTACGCTTTGGTTGACCTGGAGGACAGATACTTGCCCCAGCACTTGGCGTGCTTTGCTGATGATATTCTTGTTCATGTGCAACCTACAAATGAGTGCAGGTATACCTTCGAATACTTTATCTAGAGCATTCATCGACGCCAGTTCTCTGTCGGTGAGGAACACGCAAGGCAGAGAAACTTCCATTTCATCCAAGAAAGTCCGAAAAATATCCATTGCCCAGAAGTAGTCTTGTTACCTCTCTCCCGGTAACCAGCACTGCGCAAGAGGAAGAACCGTGTTAAATCCCGTTATAGCTATTATGTTCAATAACGGTAGCTTGTACTTGTTGGCTTTGTATGTGCAATCCATTCCAATTACATCACAATGTCGCCGAAATAGAGCAAGGGTTCCTGGGTGAGCCCAAAACAAGTACAGCTATCGCTGCGAGTCAGGTTCAACCTCCCGTCGGTAGTATAACCCATCTGTTTGTAGGCGCTCCAAGAGTAGTT